GAGAGAGAGAGAGAGATGGCACCGTATGCAGCTGTTGCCTTTAACTATTTGTTGAGCTTAAGGACAATTCGAATTCGGATGCCAACAACAACCAGCTGCCAAGGGTAGTTGTGCCATTCTGCGTGTGTGTGTGTGTGTGTACTTTTATTATTTTAACTCTTTTGCATGAGCCCCAGCTTGGCACTGGGTGCTGGTCCGTGTCTGCCTCCTTCCATTTAGCTCAGATGAAGATTAATTATAGGAAAATTCGTAACATTTTTCATGCTTAATCTTGGCGCTCATCAACGCAACAACTCCAACCCCAACCCCAGGCACGACTCACACCCCAACCCCCTGCTCAGTCCCGTTTGTCGACTCGCTACGCACGTGGAGCAAAACTAACTTATTAATAATAATAATTGTTTCATGTGCGTTTGGCTTGGCCAACAACTGCTCGTCCATTTGCTGGCCCGGAACATGTGTCACAGTTGCCGGATCGCTCGCCTCTTCCCCTTGCCCCTGCCCCTGCCCCTGCCCCTTCCACATCCACTCCACGCAGCGGGGCTTAAATGTGTGTATTTGAAAAATGATTTTTAGCAGCTTAGCCCAGAGAACTGCACTGCAATCCATATGGCTGGGAAAAGCCGACTTCAAAACGCCAACCCCCCGAAAAAAAACTCGACAGAAGAGAAACCCAAACTAGTTAACGCCGCTGGAGGCCCTTGCCATTTGACCAGGCTAAAATAGTGTAACAGTGCATATGCTCTATAGGCAATAAAGTTGATGGACTAACTATGGGGAAATATATGTATGTAATACGGAATTATAGACTGTTTTATGCGAGATCAGTGAGTTAAATGTGTTATATAGTTGAGTAGGGAAATTCAATCTCTATTATACTAAAGCTCAATATAAAGGCATGCCAATTGGCTGTTCTATTGGCAATTTCGTTAGTATTCCAATACAATATATATATAAAAAGTAATATATTACATAGAGAGTATATATGTATCTATATAACAATATATGTATAACACATATATAATATATCTATAAAAACTCTAAACATACTTCATTCTATTATAGCAAACTACATATGAACATGCGTAATGCTGACATGGCATTAAATTAATATAATCCATCATATTAGGTATCGACCTATACATATGCCTTTGGTTAGACTTGCAGATAGACTATTCGGACTTGAATCTAATTAATTATTTTATTTCTAATAAACAAATTATTAAAATTTAATACTAGTGTCATTTGCTTGAGCTCATAGCAATCTTACAATTCTCAGCTGCTTTCTTTGTGATGTTGTTGTGGTTTAGAATTATTAAGCTATTATGTATCCTAACATTCTGTGAAGCTTACGAAAATATATATATAAAAAAATATATACAAAAAAAAAAAAAAAAAAAAAAAAAATATATATATATATATATATATATATATATATATATATTATATATATACATTTTTTTTAATTTTTTTTTATTTTTGTACACGTTTAATATAGGAAAATTCTAATTTTTTAGTTTAATAGCAAAATCTTTGAATACAAAAAAAATCTAAAAATCTGTTCACTATATAGTAAAATGTCTAATCTAGTAATCACAAAGATCAATTAAAATATGAAACATATATAAATCAATATATTAATGAAATAATATTCCTAACTCTAACATTATATTGCATTTTATTACAATAAACATATGTATACGAACATCTATAAATTTATTAAACCTATAAACAGAAATAGTATAAATGTATAAAAAAGAAAAAGAAAAGTATTTTAAGGGTTAAGTAAAAGACAAGCATCTATATAATTGCTTATGAAACCTAATCTAGTAAACATATATAGAAATTAAACTATGAATCACACATATAAATATATATTATATATAATGAAAGAGTATTCCCAATGCATGCACAAAATTTGTCTGCTCAACTGACCGACTGGCCGTCCGTCTGTCCGTCTCTCTGTCCAATCGTCCGTCCGTCCTTCTGTTAGTGTTGTTGTTTAACGACTCTCTACGACTGCTACCTGTTCGGCAATTGGAAATGGAAATGGAATAGAATGGAATGGAATGGCATTGGAATGATGGTGTGCGGGTCGCCTAAGTGGCCTGCTGGTTGACCAGAGCCGCCGGAGACATTAATTTTATTGTTTAGACTGCGCGCGCGAGATCGAAATCTCGAGTCTCGGGTCTCGAGTGCCGGGTCTTGAGTGTGTTCTGTGTGGCGCGCGGTTATTGATAGTTTTAAATTAGGGTCAACAATGCGCTGGAGCAGCCAGGTTCAACAGTTGCCCAGTTGCCCAGGTTGCCCAGTTGCACAGGTTGCTGAGCTCTTGGCATGCTCCAGGTAGCAATTTCTTTTAATTACAAGCTCGGCTTTAAGCAGTCGTCGCCGCTGCAGGTGTTGCCAGGCAGTTAGCAGGCGCAACTAATGTCTAGATAATGGCTTCGAATGACCCCGCCGACCCCGGCGACTCCAGCGACTCCAGCGACCAGCGACCCCCCCAGCAGACCGGCCTGACACACGACCAAGTCCCACAGAAAACCTCATCCAGAAGCAATTGGGTATACGGTGGCAATTTGTAAGTATGAGCCACAAAATTAAATTTTAAGCGTTTTCTCGGTTGGTGGCGGAAGCTACGAAAATACACTTATCCAGAGAGATTGAGAGAGAGAGAGAGAGAGAGAGAGAAAGAGAGAGAGTGAGAGAGAGAGAGCGAGCGAGACATGTATCTTGCTACTTTAATAGATTATGAAATAAAACAAAGTGTCCATCAGGTGTACAAGCCCTAAGCCGCAGCAAGGTCTACATATACATATCTTACATCATATTTGGTAATAAAAAATGTCTGTGACTGGCAACAGAAGACGGCGCCAGCACCATAAGCCTCATATTTACGTATATTCTTAATCAGGTGGCACCAACGAGTTGATCCAACACTGCCGCTCTCTCTGTGTCCCTCTGTCTCTAGTCTAGCTGTATGAAAGCGTCAATCTCGAAACCTACAGCAATAACCGACTTGAAGCCTTAGACATGCTTTTAAGTAACTGAAATCGTATTAAACTAAAAATTAGTTTTACCATTTCCATAAAAATTGTTACAAAGCTTTAGCAAACTGAGTGCATAGGACAAGTTTTCACAGCTATAATTAGGTTATTTAATAGATTATCTATCCTACAGGAATTTTTTCATATTCCATACATATGTATATCTCGTATATCTATGCATATCTTATCGATTCATAAAAATCAATAAAAATCGATCGTAAGCTTTGTTATATAATGTCAACTATGTTGAACACGTGTGCAGAGCAGAAATCACTAAATTTCCAAATTTTAAATCCCATCAGCGAGTCCTTATCACAGCATGAATTACAAAGTATCTGCGCCTCGGAAACTTCCGCGTTGAGTCGTACTCGTCTTCTAGTAATAATGATTACATTAAAACGAGATATTGCAGGACTCGATAGATGCAGTCACAGATTTTCAAAATATAATATCGTTCATGTAACTAGTTCAATGTAGTTTAACAGAACTCGAAATATTTCATTAGAGAATAAAGCCTATCAAATGGTTCAATCGAGAGTGCTCGACTAAGGAGTACCCGAACCATACTAAAATTCAGAGCTTACATACTATACCCATATATATCGACTAATATAATCCACTTTAATTAAGATGTCGTTTGTTGCTATAGTTACAGTTACTAAAAAGAAAAAAACAAAAAACAAAAATCGTGTAAAATCTTTTATAGTTTGTTATTGGTTTTTCTTTTTATTAATCACTTCTTAGGTCTAGTTTAGTTTTTTTTTTTTTTCTTTCTTTTTTCATATCAGTTTTCGTTATTCTTTTTCTTTTTTTCTCATACATGTTCTAGAAAATATGATTTTTTTTTTTTTTTTATTTTATTTTTTTTTCTTTCATTTCTTGCTTTTCTTGTTTTGTTTTTATTCTCTCATTGTTTTTATACACTTTTGGATGTTTGCTGGTATTTTGTTGCTGTTGTTGTTGTAGTTGTTGCTGTTGTTGTTTGTTCGTTAGCTTTGCTATTTCATTGTACAATAGTTGAATATATTTGCGGGCAAACATGCACAAACCAATATGCCCGCTTGTATATATCAGTGTAACATAGGGTATGTATACAACGCATATTGTATATACTAATTATACATTATACAGATTTCCATATCAGTTGTCTGTCTCTTGTGTTCTATACATTGTTTCATTGTGTTGTTTTTGTTTTTGATTTTTTTTTCATTTTATTTTCAGCTCTTCTTATATGCCAAAGTGCATATACGCTTAAGTTATATATGCTTGTATGTGGGCTATATATGCAGGTAGGACATGAACCGTAAAATAACAAAGAGTTGCATACAAAAAATATCATAGGAATACATGTATATCAATATATGTGTATATATGTTTCTAGGTAAGTTCTATATATATATATATATATATTTTTTTTTTTTTTTTCATAGTTTTCATTTTTTCTTAAATTTCCATATTTGATTCTCCTCTATATATTGCCTGGTATTCAGATGACAGCTCGAGCCTTGAAATTATTGTTACGTCATATTTGTAGATCCATGATCTATGCCTACGCAGCTATGTGCTATGGGTAGGGAGGCAGCGAAGGGAAGGGGTATACATGTGTGTGTGTCTGTGTGTGTGTGTGTGTGTGTTTGTATGTATTGATAAGTAACTTGATACTCACTAAATGTAAGTACGATCGTATCGTATATATATATATATATATATATATATATATATATATATATATGTATAATATATATATATAATTTCAATTTCACGATTATACAATTTGTTTTTAACAGTTTTTCATATATCAGAAGACCAAGTTACCATTAAGTCGTTAGTTTTTTGTTTAATCTTTATAAATATATTAGAACAACGCTTGTGTGTGTGTGTGTGTAGTTGTACGGGTGTATGCGTGTGTGTGTGTGTGTTTATTGCACCCTTATCGCATATAGCACATATATCTTCAAATTGCCAAAGGCAAAAACAACTTTTATTCAGATTAGTTTTATATATATGATATATATATGTATATAATCACAATTCATATCATGATTTGGGCTCAACGTAGCACTAGTGTGTGCGTGTGTGTGTGTGTGAGTATAGAACTGTTTAGCATACGTTTGGGCCACATCCACAGATTTAATATATATATACCTATATATATATATACCTCAATCATAGATTTGCTTACATCGTATTAGTGTGTGTGTGTGTGTGTGTGTTTGTAATTTTGTTTTTATAACTCTTAGTAATACAACAATTTATTAGTTTCAGCCAATTATCAGCATTCGGTTTGTCTTAGCCTAGGCATAGCATATACACAGATATACTATGTGTGTGTGTATATATATATATATATATATATATATATATATATATATGTACATATATATATATATCTTTGGTTGTGTTGGGCTTTCTTTTATAAAATTTTAATGTTTGTTATAGTTTTAGTAGGGGTAAAGATTTTTGCGTTTCAGCTCCATATCGAGATCGGCCAGCTGCTGCAGAAAGCCATCATTTGGTCGTATTTCACGGCGCATGCGCACCGTACGTATCGCGTCTACGGCGGACATTTTGCGGCAGATCATCAGATAGGCCAGGACACAGGTGGCCGAACGTGACATGCCCACCAGGCAGTGCACCAGGATTTTGCCTAAAGAGAGAAAACGGGAGAGAGCGAGACAGCGAGAGAGAGAGAGAGAGGAGAGTTTTAGTTAATTTGCATTGATTTCTTGCGTTTAGTACCGCTACTCACCGCCGCTGCTGATGGCGCTATCTATGAATTTGGCTGCCACATAGAAGTAACGGGATATATCTGTCGTTGGCGCATCGATCATCGGGAAGCCCATATATCTAAAAAAGCAATCCTTATGTTGACGTCTGGACACACAACAACAACAACGACAACGACAATGGAGCACACAGAGTGAAGGATGAGAGATGCGTGCATGTGCGTGCGTGCGTGCATGTATGAACAGTGATGCATACATATGTATATACAGAGAAAGTGTGCAGTGGAATAAATAAAAAGAGAAAAAGAAAATTTTGATTTTTTTAAATGGATTTTAAAGTGATAAACCAAAGTGCCAAAGTCGATAGTTAGCAAAAAGAATTCGATAAGCTACTATAGCATGGCATGGCATGTTATGCGAGTCTATTTTATATACTGATCATGATCTCACCTGACGCTGGGCATATCCCGATAGTAACTGTGTCCAGTGTCCACCTGGCCATAGCGACAGCCCTCCGCGGCATTCAGCACGTGTGTGATGCCCGCCAAGCGCAAATAGGTTTTGTTCTTGGCCGCCGCGCTAAGGAGGAGAAAAAAAGAGTATTAAAAGAGAGAGAGAGAGAGAGAGAGAGAGAGAGAGAGGGAAGAGGGAGAGAGACTTACGCATCGCCTATGTAAATGCCCGGATAGACTTCATCACAGTCAACATCGTGTATGGCGCACTCGGCACGCCTCAGGCCCGGTAGTGTCCGGCAGGGTGCCATCGAGTAGTGCAGGACGCGCTGCAGCTGCCGTCCCGTCGTCTGTTCCGAGGTTTCCAGGCGGCTGGGCGACTGTAAGCAAACATGTGGGGATTACACTCAAAATCAGTTTAGCTTGCGTTAGTTATCATGCCAAGTTGAATGAGACTAAGCAGAGATTAGTCTCAATTGTTAGACTGTGTTAAGGATAAAGCGCAGTTCCCAATTTAGCATGAGTTTTGTATAAATCTAAATCTGAAACTTTAAGAGAATTCGCCTTTCATTCAAAGAATTTGTGTTGAAAGCTTACTCAATTGAACAAGATTATACAATTATTTTATAATTTTATATATTGTATATATGTCTAAAAGTTAAAAACAAAAACAAAAATTTACTGTAGCCAAAAGAGATTTGAAATATATTGAGAAATTAAAATCAATTCAACTAGATATTTATATATATTTTTGTTTTTTTAATCAGAAAAACTGTCTAGAGCAAAACTATATAGTATATATAAATATATATACTGGTATATATAAATATATATACTGGACACTAGCTATACGTTCTCATCTCTAGTAGGAGCTCGTAGTACAGTTATCTGAGCATGCATGTCATGCACATTTGTTCAGCAGATCTCAAGTATGATGAAGTATGATAGGCATAATTTGTGCTCATCTGGAGTCTGTAGTTTATTTATTTAGATATGTAAATTTGTGTGTGTTTTGGCAGCGAGCAGATTATTTATGGGCATCAAGTTCAGCTTGGGCCTTTGGGTCCCTTTGTGTGCCAGAGCAAAAGCTTGGCCAAGCAAATTGATGGCAGAGGCGAAGGTCGCGCCTGCTTCGAGCCGCCCTCGTCCTTGGCGCGTTGAGCTCGTTTGTCAATTTCAGGGACAGTCGCCAAAGTCAATGGGAAAAGTGAATGTGAAAGTTGTTTCCTTCTTTTCTTTGTCCCCATATATATGTATGTATATACATATTTATATAGATATATATTATATTTTTCTCATTCTGTTTTTTTTTTTTTTTTTAGTTTAGCTTTGCTTATCGGTTGTCTGCTTTGTCATAACATATTCAAATAAAATCAGCGACAGCCAGGCGCCCACAAGCAGCAGGCGGGGTGGGGCAGCAGGCGGGCCAGGAACTGTTAGTGACAGTTAAAGAAGCAAGAGAGTGAGAGAAAGAGAGAGAGAGGGAGAGAGGGAGAAGAGTGTGGAGGAGTGCGATTGGGGCTGGTCCACGTTTCGTATGAAAACTTTTACTTTTTGTCGTGGCATTCGACCCTGAGCAGAAGACAGACAGAAGCCAAAAGTAAAAGCGAAAATCATCAGAGCAAAAGTTCTTTCACTTTTCTGTTTGATTTTGATCTATTGTGACTGATCTTTGGCATACATATATACACGGCACGACAATATATATATATATTCTCTAATAGATACATTTGCATATGTTAGACGCTTATTTATACACAACATTTGAGCATTTTATATGTTCAGCCAGAAGATTTATGGCCAAGCAATAGCAATAGCTATGAGTCTATGGAATATTTATCTTCAGTTAGATGTGGCCAAGGCCTCTCTCTCTCTCTCTATAAATATGTATGTATGTATATACTTAAATGTATACACATATTGATGTGTATAGCTTTTTTGTTGTTGGCTAAATGTAGTTGCAAGCATCTTAATGGGAATTTGTTTAGTTGGCCAAAGCAAGTGTGTTGCACACACAAACACACATACACACACACACACGCACATGTATGCACATAACGAACGACATTTCACAACACTGGACAGCATGCTTTGCGCTATGGATCGCAGGCAAAAACAAACCTGATAATAGTGCGGACTATATCTATCGCCAATGCTGCTGCTGTATCTGTCGGTGAGTAGCTGCAAAACAATCGATGAAGATCAAGAGTAAAAAACAAATCAAAACTGATCAAAATAGTCTAAAAAATTAATAATAGTCAGGGTAACGTTTATATAAATGGGATAGGGCTTACAAAAGAAAAATAATTGTATATCTTAAATAGTATAATGGAGAAAATATATATCCATGATGAATTACAAAAAATAAGATAGTGTTGATAAGTGGGATAGCTAAAAAAACGTTTAACTAGCAGTACTGATAGCTTTTTAAATGGATTAGAGTACATTGTAGCTAAAATATAAATTTATTTCTATGTTTTTTTTTTTTTTTTTTTTTTTTTTGCTTAATGATTTTTCTGAATGAATTTTTAAATATTCAAATAATAATATCGAAAACGCTTAGTGGTTGGGGAGCAACACGATAAGAGAATGCTTTTACATTCTATTACTCATATTATTTAATATATTAAATTTTTTTATATATACCCTAAAATTAAAATTTTTATATTATCTTTTTGCTTGTTTGATATAGAGCAAACAAAAATTGGATAAACACTTATAAAAACATTAACAACGTGAGATAGTTGGAGGAATACTTAATAAGATTAGAACAAAATGTTTTATTTTTAATATAAATGGTAAATGAAATTTATTTATTATTTCTAATATTTTTACATTTTATTAAATTTTCAAATAAAAAACATTATTTATTTTTATTTTAAAAAAAATCTAATATTATAAATTATCGTAAATTAAATTTATTTATTTTTATCATTTTCGTAAATTTTAAGAAATTATCAAATAAAGGAAAATATACTTTTATAATTTGAAAACAATAAATTATAATATTATATGACTTTTGAATTTGTAATACCCATAATTTCATATAAATATTTTATTTTTTTTTTTATGTTTAATTAGAAAATAAAATAAATATATCATTTTTCTTTTTTTAGTTGTTACATACATATATTTTATAAATAAAAAAAATTTTATAAAAATAAAATAATTTTGTAGTAATTTAAAAGCAATAAATATAATATTTTTAAGACTTTTGAATATGGTGAATAAAATAAAAAATTATTTCTTTTTTATGTATATACTATACAATAGCTTCTCCGATTAGCTCACATAAGTAGTAAGGTAAGCTCACTTCAAACACAGTTTGTAAATCAAAAAATTATAAACGGATTTCAAATTTGATTCAGCTATCGAGTTAAAAGAAAACTGAAGAGTGACAAGCGCAGCTAAATTTAGCACAGAAATACATTAATCTTGATCAATGAGCATTACGAATACAGCGAAAATTCTATAATTTATAGCTGTAATTAGAGGCAAAATAACACGAAAGCCGCAAAAATAAACAGATATTTCTGAAGTCTTCGCGCATATTAAATGTGATGAATATCCAAGTACGTAACGCCCGCCCACAGAGTAGTCTAGTAATAGCTAAATTTAAGTCAATTTCGTATAGATCACATATATATAATATAGATAGAAAATGTTTCGCTGTGGCCAATTTGCAGGTGGCTGAGCGAAAGAGTTGGCTGTGGCTGCTGTTGCCAGGAAGATGAGAGATGACCAAAGGCATTCCTTGCCTTCAGGTGTGCTGAGAGAGAGGTGTGCAACGCGTTGGCGTTGGCGTTGGCGTTGCCGTTGCCGTTGCCGTTGGCTTTGCTTTTTGGCCAACGCCGACGCCTTGACCTTGTTACGGTAAACACAAACAACATGATATATACATACACATATACACATACACATATATAATGTCTAAAAATACACGCAAATCGCACAGCACTGAACATTTTCGACACATTCCTTCGAGTGCTTGGAAATATTATCAAAAGTCGAAAAATTGTGCTATTCAAAATGATTTGATTTCTTTGTTCTGTCACAACATGAGTCATTGAGGCTGGGGGGTGGGGGCGGCTGCTGGGACTGAGGTCGTTTGCTTGCCAAGGCAATTAGCTGGATTTAGTCAGTGCCTAAGAGACAAATGGAAACCCAATCAACATTGTGTCTTCTCACTCAATCGAATCACGTATATTTAGAATTTCGTTTTCGTATTTTCTGTACAAATTTATTGGCACAGCGCCGCGAGCCCAGTGTCTATGCAAGGTGTCGCTTTTAATAGACACACCTGTGTGCGTGTGTGTGTGTGTGTGTGTGTGTGTGTGTGTGTGTGTGTGGCATAGTTGATTGCTGTCGCAAATTGAGATACTTACAACAACAAGGCGACACGTGCATGGCCACATTGTTGCATCTATTAGTCAGTGGGTCGTCGTGCCGCTATATCGATGTGGGCTAGCATTTAACCCAAGTCTGACATCATTCTGACACCGTGCACATCCTGCACACCAGCCAGAAAGTGTGTCAGGTCGGGTCAAGCGTTGACCACTTGCTCAACTGCTGCAACTGCAAACTGTTGCAACGCTCTGGGGAGGCCAGCACTAGACACCAGACACCTGGCCTGGCCTGGCCTGGCCTAGCCCGGCCCCATCAATCCAAACGAATTTTATGGTAGGGCCAACCACGTGCCAACATCACTGAGATTGCACTGCAAAGCTAACGAACAGGTCCTTTGGACTATCCTGAGCATTGGAGCCTGGACTGAGCATTTTTACAGCCGCGGCTGCTAAGCGACTCTGAAACATGAATGTAATTCCCCTGACATTCCCTTGAGTGGCCTATAACACTCGTAGTGCTGGGTAGTGCTGCTAGATAGAGCATTCATATTAAAGTAGAGGCAGTTAATAATGCAAATCGGAAGAGAAAGGAAGTGCGAGTGAGAGAGAGATAGAGAGAAAGAAAGAGAGTGAGCGAATGAAAGAGAGAAGGAGATATCAGCTCAGTTTTGAGTTTGAGGAATTACTCAAACATCTGGTATTTCGAGTCGAATACGAATCAGCACCCAATGGATCTACAATTAACAAGCTATTGCTTGAACATATACATTTATATTTATATACATATATGTACAAAGCTTATACATAAAATTCTCATATATGTATACAAATTTATTCATTTATGATTTCTTACAATACTTCAACTATATTCCGCATTTATATTTTAAAAGCTTTTTAAATTGAACTATAAATTAGCTCGCACTTGACATATACAAGCGAGCTAATTTACCATATAATCATCAATCAGATAGCTGTTCCACTTTTCAAAACAATTTGAATGAATCTTATACATATATGAATATATATAAACAAGT